CGGGATTGTTAGAACAACAAGAAATACCTAAGTGGAAGTGGGAGCGGATAACTATGGATTCCATAACCAAGTTACCCAAAACAGCGGGTGGACTTGACACCATCTGGGTGATCGTCGACAGATTAACCAAATCCATGCATTTCCTACCAATAAAGGAAACTGACAAGATGGAGAAACTAGCTCGAACATACATCAGAGAGGTTGTGTGACTGTATGGTGTGCCAATATCCATTATCTCCGACATAGATAGTAGATTCACCTCACGGTTCTGGCAGTCACTACAAAAATCTCTAGGGATGTAACTAGACATGAGTACCGCTTACCATCTACAAACTGACGATCAGAGTAAGAGGACCATTCAAAATTTGGAAGATATGCTAAGAGTTTGTGTGATCGATTTTAGTAAGGCATGGGATACCCATTTACCACTAGTTGAGTTCTCATACAACAATAGCTATCACACTAGCATCAAGGTTCCCCCATTTGAAGCCCTTTATGGGCTCAAGTGCTGATCACCTCTGTGATGGGCTGAAGTGGGTGACACGCAACTAGCCCGGAAATTATAAGAGAAACGACCGAGAGGATTGTCCAAATCCACGAACGACTAAAAGCTTCAAGAGACAGAAAAAGGAGTTATGTGGACAAAAAACGGAAGCCCTTGGAATTTCAGGTTGTGGACCGGGTTCTACTGAAGGTCTCACCCTGGAAGGGGTTAATACGTTTTAGAAAATGTGGGAAACTAAATCCAAGGTATATCGGACCATTTGAGATCCTTGCCAGGATTGGCCCGGTAGCATACAAACTTTGATTACCACAGGAACTCAATAACGTACACCCTACCTTTCATGTGTGAAACTTAAAGAAGTGTCTATCCGATGAGGCCCTCATCATCCCACTAGACGAAATCTAAATCAACGAGATTCTACACTTCGTAGAATAGCCCGTAGAAATCATGGATAGGGAAATTAAAAGAAGTAAACAAAGTTGCATACACATTGTGAAGGTCTGCTGGAATGCAAAGCGAGGGCCTGAATACATGTGACAACCCAATATTCCAACTCTTTGTAATGGCCTAATAGGTCAAGTATCGTAAACATTTTTGAGTTACTAAAATTAACTTTGATAATAAAATGTCCAAAAAGTTTCTATTTAAATTCTTCTATGTTTAGATATCATTAAACCATGATCGTACGTAAAAAGAACGCCCAAATCCGACTTCGTATATTGAAGTTATGATTTTTCCAAGTCCAGCTTAGCAACAGACAGCTAAAAACTCGAATCGGAGATCGAGCGACATTTGGCCGGAATGACCTAAACGAGAATCGAAGGTCTCGACAATGGTATTTCAACGGTAAAAAGTCTGGCAAAAACCGATGTCAGAAAAAAAAGTTATGAATTTTTAAAGAAATTCCTTAATCACGTCATTTTAATAAATAAATAATAAAAATAATTACGGAATTTGCCAACGGAATCTAAACGAAAGTTGTAGATCGTAGTCTCACCTTCATAGGAATATAAAGAAACGTCGAAAACGGAGTTCGTATGAAGGAGATATGAATTTTTGAAGTCTGATAAATAATTTATATATAATTTTTATTAAAAATGTTGGTAATATCCGAAGGGGAGTCAGCCTAGGGCCGAAGTACGCGCCACGTACCTTCGTACGCCCCGCGTACTCGAGGCCACGGCCTCGGATCGTCCACGTCGCCCTATGCGAAGCTACCCGACCCGCCGTCCCATCCGACCCGCCCCATCCGAAATACGTAAGCGATGACGTCGCGTACGCGCTGCGTACGCCAGTACACCCCGCGTACGGAGGCAGTTCAGCCCCCTATAAAAGGGATGCGAGCCTTTCCGAAAAATTTGTTCATTTTCTCTCTTTCTCTCACGATCTTGCCTTGATTTCCGTGCCCGTTCAAACCCGAAGCTCTGGTCTTTTGGTCAAGTCCCAAGAGTCGATTTTACTCCCGAGATTCCCGAGAATCCCGAGAAAAATCCGTTTCCCGAGACGAAACTCTGCCCGGTTTTCGATCTCGCTATCTTCAAGCTTCCAAGTGAGTTCATACCCCTTTATTCAACCTTTGAAATGCTTTTAAATGTTTTAAATACTTTATGGGGGGGAATACAAGTTAAACACTTATAGTTATTGCTTCGATCACATGTGATTGCATTAATCACATGTGATTAATAACTAGGAAACCAATGATTTTATCACTATTCAAACTGTTTTACATCAAAATGTTTCACAAACTCTTTTACTTATCAAATGATTTTATTTAAACTTTGTTTTACTACTTATAAATTGCATGCCCATATATGTATAGATATATAAGTAATGTTTAAAGGGCTTAGGAAGGCCATCCGCCCTATTTCCTTTTCGCGCACTGAGATGTGGTCTGGTGGGATTTCGGGTGACCATCCGAGGGTCGTTTCAATATTAGTTATACACTACAAGAAAAACAGCCTTTTATGACGCTCATTGCGCGTCGTAAAAGGCTCAGACGACGCGCAAATGCGCGTGAAGGAAGGCCGTGTCATAAAGAGAGACGACGCGCATTTACGACGCGCAATTACGACGCGCGTTTACGACACACAATGCGTATGAAGGAAGGCTCTGTCATAAAGGAAGACGACATGCATTCGCGTGTCGTAACCTTACGATGCGCGTGTTAATGACACGCAATGCGTATCAAGAAAGCCCCTGTCAAGAAAGGCCATGTCATAAATGAAGATGACACACATTTTTGCGTATCGTAAATTTAAATGTTTAAAAAAAATAAATTTATATGTTTATTAATTTTTAAATTAAATTTGCATTTAATTTCTTATAATAGAAATAAAATACAATATACAAAAAATACAATCCATTGCATAATATAAAATAAAATTTCATACTCAAAAAATAAAATAAATTGCACAAATTATAATGTCATACAAAGAATCATTCAAATGTTAAACAAAAATAATACATTGCTAACATGTGTTATACATTCCTATAAAACTAACAAATAATCATACAACTCTGTTTCTTACTGGAAAGGAATGCCAAACATGATTACAAGTCTCCCTTAATCTTGATTACTCACCTGCTTAAGTAGAATGCTGTTGTTGAAAAGGTTACCTAGAAACAGAGAAAAACACAATACCTCTCCCACAATCACAACATCATTTACAGAAAAGGGTTGTCAATTCGAGTATTTTTTTTACCAAATTTTCGTCCTTCTTCCCTCATATCCTCTAATATTTCTTCATATTCTCCATCATCCATCAATTTATCAGCATTGATCACCTTCATTGCACCAAAAAAACCATGCTTGCTTTTACCAAAATTATTCAAAAATATCATATTTTCTCAAAATGAGGTTTTCCACATTAACCAACTCCTAACATTTTCTCAAAAATATTATTTAAACATCATTTACATTTTTTCTTTTTAAAATAGAAAAAACATAAGGTACCTCAGTTAAACACAAAACTTTAGTTGGAATCTCATCAGGTAATCTAGGTAATCCGGGAAGATTAAACCCTCCAACTTGTAAGGCCATTTTCGACAAATAAAAACATGATGTTTCAAAACATTGAACGTACATAAATAATAATAATAATAATAATAATAATAATAATAATAATAATAATAATAATAATAATAATAATAATAATAATAATTAATAATAATAATGTAGTATATGCATAACTATATGTTGTTAAGCCTGGGCCATAATGGTCTCCTGTTCAGATTTCATCTGCCCGCTGCAGTAAAATAAAGAGCATCAAAAACATCAGATTTATCATAAACTTGTTCATAATAATAAAGCCCACATGGATTGAGAAAAATTTAAATTATTAATAATAATAATAATAATAATAATAATAATAATAATAATAATAATAATAATAATAATAATAATAGAGGGGCAAAAACATCTTTTTGACTCTCACTTACCCAGGGGTAAGCCCAGCAGCAGCTAAATTAAGGTTTGGATTTGGTTGACTGGGGCACCACCACGATAACCACCACCACCACCACATCCACGGTTCCATTACCAAAGACTACCTAGAAAAGATTCATAAAAATTAATAATGAAGAAACTATAGGAAGACTGAAGATAATATTATTGAAAGTGATTATGTAAAGTGTGAACAAAGGGGAAGAAGATTCTCTGTTGTAACTTGTTTATTGGAGGAGATTCTCTATTGCTAACTTGTCTCTTTTTAGACTCTCCACCTTGTTCTCTTAAACCAAAATGAAGACTTCAATGAGGATTCACACAACATCCATTGATAGCAGCAAATCTGGAAGCACAATGGTCCAATCCCATTCAAGTTTCTTTGGACCTATCAACAAAATAAGAATACAAAATTCTTGTCATGATGGAAATATTAAAAGCTAGTAAGATTTAAAATGAAAATGATTATAAAAATAAAAGAAAATTTAAACCAACAACCAATTAAAAGATGCATGGACCATTGTATTTGGCAGTAAGTAAGCAGCAACTGATAACCACAACATCAAACTTTTCAAAGAATTCAAACAGATACGAAATAATTTGGTCCAGGAACGTTCCTGGACCAAATGTCATAGTTGTTCCTGATGATTGAACTGAATTCATAACAATCCATAAGTAAGGAATCAAACCAACTAGTTGCTTATAACTCTGTGATACTACATGCATTCAATATAAAATCACCGAAAGCAAAAAGGAAATATTTATCTGTTTTCACAAATCCTGCCACCAAAGCCCTAGGCAACACTGCAATCCATTCATCTCGGTTAAGTTAGTAGTAGTATGCAATAATAATAACTATATGCCATCAAGGAAAGTCAAACTAGAACATACAATTGACTTGAAACTCTTTATGACAGATTCAAAGCTTTAAGGTTTATCTTCTGCAAAACCAGAGACAAAAGTCAGTTCCATAAACAATGTAGAAGAAAAAAGGTCTAGTCAAAAGTCAAATGAAAGAGAACAATGGTTATAACTTACGTATAGATAGAGGGTCTATATGTACAAAGAACTTGCAGCAACTATCAAATAGCAAAACACAAGAATTACTCCCTTGAAGTAATTGGATGTTCCATCCTACAAATATATAAAAGAACCATTTTTAAATGAAAATTTTAATTAATCAAATTTTTGTAAAAATATATGAATATGAGGCTTACTTGCAACATGAAAGCCACTACTAGAACTGTCATAATAAGAGTTGTTGTCTCAAAAAGTTGAAAATTTAGGTCCAAAGGACGCCCCATGATCCACCCAACAACCACACAAATGGAATCTGCAGTTACAAACACAAAAATTTTAAAATAAAAGTTAGTATTTGTTTAAATTATGCTGCTATTTCTTTAAATTAACCTTTCTTTTAATATACAGAGAAAAAAACACGTACAACAAACATAGATATTTGTGTTGAGGAGCCAATCGCGACTCCTAAAGAGATATCCTGCAAAGATTGTAACTAAAAATATTTAAAAAACTAAATAAAATGAATTATGATTCTTGTAATGACTAATGACTTACAAGCTTGTCTTTCATGACAAACATGATGGCACTTGCATGTTCTGCTCCATTTCCAACAATAGGAAGAAGTAGGCCCCATATGTAATAAGCATTACACAACTGCTAAATCTTGAAAGGGCCAATTCTGACTTTCCCAAATGCAATTCAGTGTGTGTGAAGTGAAGAATAGCAAGGAGTAACAGACCCATCACTGCCATTAACAGCAACCCTTAGCTCATCACAACATTTGGCTGCAAAACGTGTTCCTTTTTAGGAAGAAAGATTCCTCCACAGAAAAACGTGCATCCAAGAACAAGCAACATGTTTGCCAAAATTGACCCTAGTAATGATTGTTGCACAACACGTAGCATACCATGGAATTGAATTCCTTCACCCTCCCCTAGGAATAGTGAAATACATCAAACAAGGAATTAAATTGTATCTCGAATATGTCAAAAACATAGAATTTTTTTTAAAAAAAATGAAGCAAACAAACAATCAAGCCTAAGTGGTATAAAAAGAAACTGAATTACTATGATGCATTTGTCAAATTCTTGATATTTTTAAGCAAACAGACTCACCCAAACTTGTTTTAAGCTTCAAAAATATGTCATCCCGACTCTTGCTTGAAACTTTACTAAGCCTATCCTGTAATGAGTGTCGAAGAGCACCTGTTGGTGGACAAAAAGAGCATTCAAATTCAATAATCACACACACACACACACACACATATATATATATATATATATATATATATATATATATATATATATATATATATATATATATATATATAGAACCCTATTACTAAATGTATGTATCGAATTGGCTTAAGCCCTTAAGTATGACATGAGGACTTACTTGCAGACATAGGTTGGGATTTTCTATCAATCTGCATTACAATTGATTTGCTGCTTAAGTTACCATCCCTCTTTAATTCAATACATATAGGTGCGCGAGTTGCACCACCTTCACCAGTTGGCTGCTCAACTTAATTTGAAAATTGAAATGACTTGTTTTGTTATCATAATGAATTAGAAAAAACATAAAGTGAATATATATGTCCAGATTGAATATGAAAATAAAGAAAAATGAAGGTCGTACCAGAGCAAGATGCCCAATCAAACTGTTCAAAACTGCTGATTTACCTGCACTCTGAACAATTGGTAGCCCATAATTAGAAATGAACTATTTAAGATCCATAAATTGGTAAACCTGAAAAAGCAAAAGGGTAGGCTAGCAAGATCAGATTGGCTCCATGATTAGCTAAACAGTAGACCCCTAGCAGTTGATGAGTGGAGCTTGATCTAGTAGAAAGCATAATGCAAATTAATACTTCGACATATGGCATTAAGCAACAGTAGATGAGTTTCTGCTGCAAGCAATAGTTTTGAATCACCTATATGCTAAATTGGAATCTAAGCAAAAATAGTTCCCAACTACATTTAGAAAAAGATCCATCAAAAATAGGGATCGCAACAAAAACATATCGAGAGATCCACTGACTTAGTCAATCAACACAAAAGCAAGTAGTCGGATCAAAAGAGCGCATGTAAGACAAACTTACGGTATTGCTAAGAGCAACAAAATTAAGAAATTTGGAAGGGTGTTTTGAAGAAGACGATGAATTTGCATCCCCAATGGCAAACACCTTCGTGGGGTTTGAAGAAAGGGCTGTTGACGCTCCGGAAGGTAAATGCATCCCAACGGTCCAACTCCGCCTATTTATTTCATCGGACCTTTGATCGCCGGTGGCAATCATGTGGATCCTAGCGAAAACGAGTGCTTAAAATGGTTGAATTCACAACCGAGTAAAAGTGTAGTGTTTTTATGCTTTGGGAGTCAGGGTGTGTTGAAGAAGGAGCAGTTGAAGGAAATAGCTATTGGTTTAGAGAAAAGTGAGCAAAGATTCTTGTGGGTGGTTCGAGATCCGCCACCAGATGACAAAAAAACCGACTCGAATTCCGGTGGTGGTAAAGAAGTCGGTCTGGATGCGATTCTTCCTGACGGGTTTAAGGGCAGGATTGGGGATAAGGGGATGGTGGTGAAGAATTGGGCACCACAGCCGGCGATACTTAGTCATGAGTCGGTGGGTGGATTTGTGAGTCATTGTGGGTGGAACTCGGTGCTTGAAGCGGTGGTAGCTGGGGTGCCACTGGTGGCATGGCCATTGTATGCGGAACAGAAGATGAATCTAGTGTATTTGGTTGAGAGAATAGACACAAGAGAGACAGAGATATTGATTCAGGTACGATTGAGAGGTAAGAACATTTAATCATTTGAAGAAGAAGGAATTTGGATGGGCGAGGTGGGGACGAGGAAAACTTGTTTCCTGTGAGATCCAAAGCACAAAAGCCCTAGTTTTTCCAATTTTGGGATGGCGTGTCTTTAACATGTGAGAACGTGGGTGAAGGCGGGGGACCTAGGGCTTCTTGTTGGAGGCGCTGGAGGTGGGTGAAGGAAGAGGCCCTAGGGCTTCTTGTTGCTAATTCGAAGATCAACATCGATGGTAGAAGGTGGAGGCATCAGTAGAACGAACAAGGTAAAAGGAGAGGAGATAGAACCATTTGGTGTGAGGGTCGATTTGAAAGAAATCTCAAACCCTTAACCTTAAACATGATGTGAAGCAATTGATCCATAATCTTCTTCGTCTCCGTCAATTCCTTGGGCGCACATAATCGGACGATGGTGGTAAATGAAGCATTATTCGAGAAGGAAGGTGCATTGTCGTAGTTTGAGGCTAGAAGAGGATTGGAGGTAGTGGATGTGGATGAGGGGTGGAGACGAGGGAGAAGAAGGTGGGGGTTTAAAAAATTTGGGGATTTCATTTTCCCTCGGACACGCGCGTTTCTTAAAAAAAATATAAAACGACATTCACAAATGACGCACAAGTGCCTTCCGTGTTTTTAATATTTTTACATGAGACACTAATTTAAAGGCACTCAGTAATGCGCGACCTAAATCCTTAAAATTTTTGAAGAGATGATACTTTTTTAATGTCACTCTCTAATGCGTAACATAAATCAAAGAGCGTCGTGTTTTGCGCGTCGTAAAAGGCTGTTTTTCTAGTAGTGATATATCATATATACATGTATAGACATAAAAGTACTTCCATATTCATACTTATCAGCACATCATTAGTAAGTTACCATCAGGGTAACACAGGATCATACTACTACAATTTCTAGATCAACGAGTCAGTTCATTCAGGAGTCAATACTTATTACTAAGAGAACATATACAACGATTCTAGAACAAGTAACATTATATTACATATACACGAATATGTTAACAATTGTGATCCACTGTATGGGAGCATGTCTTAATTGTCATGACTCGAGTTGTAGCCAGAGTCTCTTGGAGGGAGAGCGTGAGTTTGCGTATAGATCTATACTGGATTGACTATCCTACACCTCGCTGCTAGCTACAGTGGGACCGACAGGTCTGCGGGTGCCAAACGTCATACCTTATTTTTCGACTATACGTTGTCGTTGTTACCAGTCGATAGTATGGTGCAATTTATCACATGATACCTTAATATAAACCCAGTTTAAGGTAGTTAGTACAGCAGTAGTTCCTATAAAACAAAACTACAGTACTACAATAATTTACCCATTATATTTTGGTGATAACATCACTTAAACTTTAATGTACAAACTATATTTTGTTAAAAGATAGTTACACTTGGGAAATTACACACTTTTACATCAAACGAGCATACAAAACAGTTAAGCCTTGGTAGAGGGCTACTTTAACAGAAAATATAGGTTTTTCTGAGAGATTCAAACTTTTACAAACACTTACATACATTTACAACTCATACTTGCGACAGGTTCAAACGTTTTGATAACAAACATCGACACTAAAATACTTATGAATTCACCAGCTTAATGTTGATAAACTCTTTCAAAACATATTGTATTCTCAGGTCATCAGTAGACAGGTACCGATGCTAGCTTTTGAGAAGATGGAGCGCATTCAAGACTCATCATATTATTTTGATTTACATTATATTTTTGGTGTCTAAAACTGTACAGAACACGCTTGTATTAAAATTTTATATTTAATGCAATGGATGATGTTGTTTGCTTATTTACATTTACTGTGTTGTGATACTTTACATGACGTCCTCCGCCCCAGAACGTTTCCGCCATTCTTGGTTTTGGGGTGTGAAAATACACCTATGAGCGCGAAGATCAGATGAAACAA